CCAGCTACCCACTGACCAACCAATACTGTCCTATAGCAGACGGCAGTTTGACTCGCCACCCACTGACCAACCACTACTGCCCTATAGCAGACGACAGTTTGACCCGCCACCCACTGACTCACCACTACTGTCCTATAGCAGACGGCAATTCGATATGCTACCCACTGACCCACCACTACTGTTCTGTAGCAGACGACGGTTCGACCCACCACCACTGCCCTATCATATCAGAGATTTGAATATCTTATCATAACAACTTTCAATTACTTGTCAAACCTAAACAATACACACTTTAGACATTCCTACGTTGTCAACAAAACGAGCAGTATTATTTGTACAATATTCGGTGAAAATAAGCCAGTACATATAAATCAAATTCGGTAGTCAAATTGACTGAATTATAAGTAAATTATGATACATTTGGACAGATCAGGGACATTAGAAATCTGATATTATACCAGACAATCTGCTAGCCAGTAAGATACAGTAGTTTGGTATGCTGTCGTGTCATTCTGGCCACAGAAAAATGTCATTGTAACAAGCTAATCCTGCTTGGACTCGATGCCCGACACTATGCCTTATTTAGGTGATGCCTAATCTAGGTGATGTTATCTCTAGGTGATGCCTAATCTAGGTTATGTCATCTCTAGAGTTATTATATGCATCTATGGTGATGCCTAATCTAGGTGATGTCATCTCTAGAGTTATTATATGCATCTATGGTGATGCCTAATCGAGGTTATATCATCTCTAGGAGGTATCTAATCTAAATGATGTCTTTTCTAGGCCCTGTATATCTAGTTGCTGTCTATTTTAGGTGATGCCTCATCGGGGTGATGTCTTATCTAGGCGATGTCTAATCTAAATGATGTCTCATGTACTTAATGACGTTTATCAAGCTGAAAAAAAGTGTATCGGTCTAAAAAGTTTATTAGTATATTAGTTATAAGTAGTATATGTAATAACGAGTTGATCACGAAGTCTATTGAAATTAAATCACATTTATTAATCAGAGTAAATACTATCTAATATAAACTACTGTAGATATATACACCTCTCTCGTTAATATAGTAATATAATATGATATAATATAACATAATCAGTGTATATCATAATGTCTTCAAACTGTGAGATTTAAAGGTATTAGTCCACTCAGGCCACGAATAACTGAATAAATAATTCATTGTAAAGGCTTGTTATGAGATTTTCTATACTTTTTATGTGTATCAGAGACAATGGTAGCACCGATTTGCACCATTATAATATATAGTCAGACGTCTGTGGTTCCTGCAATTCCACAAAAACTAAGCATTTTATGACGTCACTCTCGCAAAGCTGCTACTTTTAAATTGAGTTGCAAGAATCACAGGCGTCACTACTAGGTCATCGCTAGGGTAAAGGCTCGAGCGGGGTCTCAAAGGGGTGAGGGGGTGTCCCCGTAGGAACGGCACTGTTAGTGATACAGTCACCTCAATCAATGCCAGGGTCAGTCTAATTAGATAAACACCCACGAATATATTAGTATGGTAAAAGAGGATATACATCATTTTATATTGGTTTGTGTCACGATCGTTGGTGTGCCAAGCTTTGTCAACACTATTAATTAGATAAATACAGTTCTAAATAAATACACAGAATAACTGACACGATATTCTACCTAATATATTATTTATTTAACGAGGTCCGATGTGATATAAGCCGAGCATCCAGGAAGTATAATAATGATATCCTATTATACGAGTACGAATTTCAAATTCTTCAACAGATTCTCGTACGTGCAACATTCATGCATTTTGGTGAGAATGCATCGATATACTTCGGGTATTTTGAAATATATGTCCTAAAGTCTTAAACAATCGTTAAGGTTTAATAATAGGGACGATATACACCCTTTTTCAACATAAATGTAAAAATTCACATCGTAATATTAAGATTGCCCAAGAAATTATTGCTGACTTTAATTTTCAGTATTGCAGAATGCAGATTTCACGTCAAGAGTACATACAGTCTGTTTAACAGTACAGTTGCGTGATATCACACAAATATTGAGACCTGTACAAAAACTTGCTCTTTGAATTTATTAAAAAACGAAATAAAACCAACACAAAATCTAAATGTTTTGCCTGATTGGGATAATTGTGTTAGAGTGATGCCATTTTAAGCGTTTTTTCTCTCATTATTAATTCAGGAATTCTAATGAACGCGAGGTAGGGAAGTTGATTCAAACTTCAAAGTATACAATAACTCAGCCTAAAGATTTGAGTTTTTAATTATTTATTGATTTTCTGTTAATTATCTCCCCTGTAGTTAATTATCACGTGCTCATACATCATGATTGACAGAGAAAAATAACGAACCCAATTCCCGCCGGAATTATCTTCTGATTGAAACTGGTGAAATGCATGGTTTCTTCATGTGTATGGTGTATTGATGCTTGCATACTCTATTACTGACCTACAATTTTTTAGCCTTGAAATTAAATATGTCATGGTCAAATGTTAAACAAAGTAACGAGGCACCAGTAACAGAAACAACCAATTCGGTTGAATGACACCAATAATTACAAGCAAAATAAGACGATTCCGTCAATCAAAAATCTCGTCCAAAAGAGTAGACAGTATAGTAGTGGACTCCTCCAAAGAGAAGTACCACCAAGTGTTTCGATAAAAGTAAGCATGGTCTACTTCGTGTCATAAAAGGCTTCAGTTTAAGTGGAATTGTAAAACATACAGACGTCTGAAATGATAATAGACGTTCTAAGAATGATGCTTAACATATGTAGACCGAATCATCTCTCCTAATTTCCTATTTCGTCATCTCATCAATCAAACCTGTCATTATCTGATTCATACCATGACATTTATCTCATTTCATATTGATTATTCTTCCAGGTAATTCTCTGTGTCTTCAGGTGAATTGAATACCTGAGCTATACGGTGCCAGGTTGACTGACAGTCTAACAATAGACAATACCACAGAATAAATGAACCAGTATTAAACACATATTCTGGAAAGGTGTGAAAGACCGAATCGGAAATTATAAGAGTAAATCACTGTACAGAGAGGGGCCATGTTTAAAATATCATATTAATTGTGAAACAAGATTGATAACGGAAACATTATAGTTCTTAAATCTAAACTCTGAATATTAAAGTTATCTTAGAATTCTCTTCTACTGGATTATCTTTATCCTTGTAAAGGTAAAACAAAATATCAATTAATTTCACGTTCATATTGTTAATTACATTTATTAAAGATGTGTTTCGTTTTAGTGTCAAATTAAGCAAACTATTTGGTTAATTGGTGTTTTTAATGAATTATCATGTATTCTTAATCATGCCATTATGTTCTTATTGCATATAAATAATAGTTTTAACCAATCATAAAATAATAACTTTTTGACCTTTCTTGATCGGTCACTCATTGGAATTCTGCTGGTAATTCTCTTCTAATTTAGCCCATTATGAATTGATTATGTACATGTGAGACAAACTGGTATTTTCCAAGTCATTAGAACACCTCTACTTTCTATTCATATAAGTATAAGCATTTTCATTTTCATAAATAAAATAAGGGAACCCATCTTTAAATGTCATGATATGATCATCTTTGAAAACAACGTAATTATATACTCTGAATTTCAATGATATTTTAAGAATCTGTTCGACTGAAGTATCATTATTAATTGAAATATTATGAAATATGATTTTTCCATGATTACAATTTACTTTAGAGACTTCACATTGTTAATTACACCTATTCATGTTACAAAATGTTTACTTTGCTGTGAGATATGATGAGATTGAAACTAAAATAACGTCAGGAATGACCACGAACTGATAAATAATTCACCACACATCACATTAATATAATTGGTATATAAACCTGAGAGAAAATTCTGATTCTAGGTCCTATCTTCGTACTTTTATTAACCTTCTTTTATCATTGTGGCCATTCTGTTAACAATCATTTATTCTCTCGCTTCAGGTAACACGGAATCTTACGGAATTACAAGAATCGTTGTTTTATCATTGTAATCATTTATATTATGTAATAAAGCTCATCTATTCTCTCGTTTCAGGTAAAATAGAGCTTTAAAACAGTACCAGAACCATTGTTATAGAAACACAGATTAATACCACGGTTTTAAAGTAAGAATTGCCAATAACCTACGTCAAAATCAACTTTTGGGAATACTTCTGATATAATATGCAACGTCAATTAATGCGAGTTTTTCCAGGGAATGTGATTTTGGATTAATATACCAATTCAGTAATTACTGAGATTGACACGGAATCTAATTTACCTGTCTGCTTTCAGACAATATTTACTGTCCAACTACAAGGCGAGTTTGGTGTGAAAACAACCAGATTTAGTATATGATAATAGGATATAAAATATTTTGTGTTTTCGGAAGTTTTCAGTGACCAGACGTTACTATGTATAAAGTCTTTGAATTACACGCAAATGTTTGAATGTAACCGGATAAACGTGCGTGAAGCAAATTGAAAAATATCTACAATAAGGCAGCAGTGTTTTTCCACTACAAATAACACCATTTCATTAAAAAAAAAGTTTCGTGAAATAGACAGAAACTTTGGATATTCTGACAATAATACCAAGTGTAATAATAGTGTTTTCTAGGTTGATGCAATTTAGGTGAAGATCAGCTATCTAATGATTTGTTCAGTGATTAGGATCTAAAGTGTTATATTGAGGTTGAGGGCGAATAAAATCTGTAAGACGATTTACCAGAGTTATACATTGTGACATTAATCCGATTACATCCGTTGATAATTTAGTGTTTGTGTATTTATAGGTCTTTCGAGAGACTTTAAGATTTTTCTGTTCGTCAGAATGAGGACAATTGTGTGATATTACTCATCTTTATCAGAAATTACGACACAATCAAGTGACAAGCAAAAATAAGTCAACAACTAATTTTACAATGACGAATCTTAAATCTTCGAACATCAATTGTGAATAAAACTGTTATCAGAATGGACAGCTTGAAACTTGACAACAATGTCAAGCGACAGGCGACGTTTGAAACGGAACCGGCGGACACGGTTGTCGGTAGATCCATCAAGCGCGGTGACATAAATCTTCCTTTTATTGATGCCAACGCCGTGAAAAATGGCACGAAGGATCCAAAAGGGACTGTCAAACAGGAACAATTAAAAGTTGTCAAGGAAAAGGAACGTAAAGAGAAAGAGCTCCAATCTCTGAAAGAAAAAAAGGAAAAAGAGCTGAAAGCTTTAAAAGACAGAGAACTGAAGAAGGTGCAGCTGAATAAGATCAATCATGACAAGGGATCGAAAGAAACTGTCCAATCACAGAAGGACAAGGAACTCAAGGCCTTAAAAGACAAAGAAGCAAAGGCCAAGACGTCGAAGGATATAAAATCTGAAAAAGAAAAAGAACTCAAAGCTAAAAAGGAAGACGAATTGAAAGCTAAGAAAGAAAAGGAGCTTAAAGAACAACAAGAAAAAGCCACCAAGTTAAAAGATGAGAAAGAGAAACAAGTAAAAGCTAGTGAAAAGGGCAAGAAACTTGACCAAGCTAATCAGAGAAATGGAAATCAAAATGGCAACAAATCGACGTCAACAAAAGAAAAGGAAGGAGAAGGAAAAGTTGGATTTTTTCATAAATTAGGACGATCGTTGTCTCCGTCTAAAAACAAACAAACTCCCCCCGTAGACACTACCGACCCCGTGCCTTCAGCAAAATCCAAAACAAACCCCAGAGGAGACAAAACTCCACCCCAAGTACTCGTTGTGGACGACGATCGCTTCGCAGAGGTTCGCGTTGCGACTCCGACCGTTAAATCTTCAGAAGGTAAAGAAGAAGCCCCCCATTTTAAAGCCGCACCTCCACGTAAAAACAAAGATGACGACTCTCTCAGAAGTGAAACTAATCGAATAACAGAATCTCATAAAAATGACTCTGGTTCATTTTCGGAACGAGTGGACACACGAGCTAAACCGAGAGTAGTTCAATCCAAAATGGACGCTTGGATGAACGAAAAACGTGGATCACAAGGCTCTATCGATTCTCAAAGAATGCAAGCACTACGCAAACTCAATACAAATTCTCCGAGAAATTCTCTTCCGGACGACGAGGAGGTCCCTGTGATCAAAGACTCAAAAGCCGATTATCTTAAATCGAAAGGACCGCCTGAAAAAAGTCGGCGAAAGTATCCAGGTGATGTAAGCTCGTCTCTGGAAAGTGACATCGATAGCGCGCAAGAACCATACGACCACGTGCTAGCAGAACGCGATTGTCTTTTAACAGCCGAAGTTGCGTATAAAAGGCGGATTTACCAGTTAGAAGGTGAGACAAACCAGCTTGCTGAAGCCTTAGATAAACGGGACAACGAAATCAAGGAATTGAAGTGGAACATCGAGAATCCGTCTACTGTTACTGAGGTCTCGGTTTTGACCCAGAAACTTCAAAACGAGGTTGACAAGTTACAGCAGGAACTGGACGAGCTAAAGAAGGAGAAGAAAAAGTATAAAATCCTTCACCAAGATTCTGAACGGAAGATGACAGAGGTCGTCATAGAAAACGACGATCTTCGTGAAAAATTGATACTTTTCGAACAAGACAGGATTCCTCAAGTGGAAGATCTTCAAAAAGAGAACAAAAAACTGGAATCTAGCCTCAAACTACTCAAAACCAAACTGAAAGAATCCGAAGAACAATTTGATTTCCTGAAGAATGAGAACATTGAGATGTCAGGAGAGGTTAGAGCCAGACAAAATGAAGTTCAGGAGCTTCTTATCGCCTTAAAAGCTCAGAAAACTTCAGAACTCGAGATTCTTAAAGCCAAAAGTCAACTGGAAAATCGTCTACAAAAATTGGAAGGACTTGAAAAGGAACTAGCAGACGCCGTTGCTAAGACCGCCATTCTTGAAGCCGAGAAGGAACACGTGCAGTCGTTAATGAAAGAAAAAGAGAAAGAGGTCAAATCAATTCAGGATCAGTTGGATGCCAAGGAAAATGATGCCGGAAACCAAAATTTGGCGATTGAACTACAGAAGGAGGAAATTGACAATTTGAAAGAAGATATCGAAAAGTATAAAAAAGATTTGGAGAAAGCAGACGACATGAAGAAAGAAATCTCTGAACTGAAGGCCAAGGTGAAATCTCTCCAGTCGGAGTTGGAGGACGCTCAAGACAAGACTAAGAATCTGGACGAGGAAGTGGAAGAAGGAAAGAGGAAAATCAGCCGAATTCAAGAACATGTCCAGACGGCAGCGGAAACAAACGAAACGTTGCGGAAAGCCAAAAAGGATCTGGAAGCAACACAGAAAGAGAAAGTCGGAATTGAGACGGATCTGAAGATCAGCAAGGATGAAATTTCAAAACTTCAACAACAAAATATGGAACTGAACATCAAAATTGGTAACTTGAACGATCGGTTGAAATTCCTTGAAGACACCAATCAGAAAAATTTCAAAAAATCAAGAAACGCGGTAAATAATTCCGAGCCAGACGACAAACTATTAGAAGAAAACAGGCGCTTGAAATTGAAACTGGTCGAGAAGAATTTTGGAGAACTGACAGGCGAGGAGGATAAAAAGGCGCTGAGTTCTCGTTTGGAGAATCTGGAACGGAAACAAATTGATAACGATGTCAAAGTTCAACAACTTCAGGGCTGGGTGGATGAAATCTACACCGACCCATCGTCACACCGACAATCACCGGCCGTTAACCCACCGTCAAACGCGATCCCGAGGGTAGCTGTGGCTGCCCAAAGTGATAAAGGACCCACTCATAAAAATAAAAAGACTAAGGGTAAGAAAAATCGTGATACGTCTGTTGGTTTGCTCAATAAACAAGTCGATCCTCGAGTAACAGTGAGTCTCGGTGATATCCGAATAGAACGGCAGCCTAGTCGTAGTTCGACGCCGTCTTTGCCCATGATACAGGACATCCCGGAACAAACCCCGCTGTATAATAGTTATTTCTATATTTATAAACAAAAACAAAAACTGATGCGACAACAGCAAAAAATACGATGACCGCCAACAGTTTGTTAGAAAACTGATATCATACACTTGGTCTCGCTCCAAGACCAAAAGGATGGCCTAATTATGTAAACTGTGATCACTTGCCAATTGTTAGAATTGACAAATTTTCTAATTCCCTTTTTTTTCTTTGAATATCTTTAATTCGCCTCAACCTGGGAGTGGTTGGGAATTTTACAAAAGTAAGTGAGAGGTGACCATGAAAATGTGAGGGTTTTAAAGTAATGTCAAAGCTAATTCTAAATCTTGTATTGAAATGTTTTAATCTTGAATTGCGAAAAATATTATGATCCATCGCGTCCATTGGTGGGACTTCGTGTAATTATGGATATGATTACGTCATAAATCCTTTCTTCAAAAAGCTGGGAAGAAATCTGCCATGAAATAGAGAATTGGTCTTGATATTTCAAAGATTGTAAAGAGGTTTTCTTAACACTTTTAGCATCGATTTGCATCATTCCAATTTTATTTCAGATTTCTATGGTTTTGGTATTTCTCTAAAAGTTTAAAGGCCTTAAATGAAAAAAGCTTAGAAACCCCTTTACAATCTCGTTTTATTCCCCATTTGAATGGGAATAGTGTTATACTTAGTGCCAAATTATATTATTTTAGTCTCAAAGTGCTGTTTATCTGTGATATAGAGATAGTCGGACAAAGATATCCATAGACGATCATATAATAAACGCTCGTGATGCATGTCGTGTTTGACACAATGGACACAGAGTGTCAGTGTTCAGAAGGGGGTGGGAAAACTTGAAGCATATATTTTTTGTATTCCTTGTATCATTTGAAACATTATTTGATTGTCGTATGAATACTCTGTCTCTAAATAAAAAAGCACGTGCATAAATGTCTTTGACCGACTATTGGAGAACCAGTGTCCACAAGAATGGTTGAATGTAAACATGAAAGGGTTTGTAAAGAGATCATCTGTCATTCTTTCACGAAATGACCACATATCATTTCTTGGGCCATGTTCCATACTAAAAATCTCTTGTTATCTACCACTATTTTGGAATATCAAATTCTTCACTTGGAAAGAAGCCACTTTAAATATCTTTGGTAATGCTTTTTAAGATTACTTTCTGTAGGCGGGACAGTGCGCAGGAATAATCTCTTCACTTCAAAACAACACAGAATCTCTTTACAAACTCTTTTTGGTTTTCAAATTATTATTATTATATTTCTTCGTTGTAAAATAAACAAAATAAAGAAATCTTTTCTTGATTTTTAAATAAATAAAAATGTCAAAACCCATCCCGCTTCCTCGATATCCCGTGGGGTAAGGTCTACTTCTGTTAACCTTAAAGTGACCCTTACACCATAACAATCGACAATTTCGTACGATTACGAATAAGAACAGCTGTCGTTTCGAATGCGACTCTTGTGGAACTGAGTTCTGAGTTGTTAGTTTATAGGTTGATATCAAATTAAATGACAGAGCACAATTTTATGGCATAATATTCTTTTTCTTTAAAAATGTAAATTGTTGAAACGTCGTGTTCAATGAAAATGGGGTGTAGTAAGCTATGCCACAAAATAATGTTCTGTCATTTAAATTATAAATGATATTAATGGGAACATTAAAAAACAGTTACCAGATATAAACCTATTTATAGGGGCTCGTCTATTGTAGTCGAGTATCTATTCAACGTTATTCTAACAAAGCGGTAAGAGGCCATATACGATATATATCATGTACTTAAACAGCAATATAGGCCTATACATATCATGTATATCTGATAATCTATAATATTTAGGCCTCTTATTTGTCGCTTTTCGGTTGGTTGGTGTATATTACGTGTTAACGTCCGCTTACAGCTAACTGATATCACAAACTAGGTAGTTGTTGGTAGATGACAAGTTAACGTCTGCTTCCATCTAACTGATATCACAGACTAGGTAGTTGTTGGTATATGATAAGTTAACGGTCGCTTCCAGCTAACTGATATCACGGACTAAGTAGTTGTTGGTAGATGACAAGTTAACGTCTGCTTCCAGCTAACTGATATCACAGTTTATCTATTGCTCTGTCACCTAAGCCAGTGCTTTCATTGAGACTCGTCTCAATACACCCTAACACAGACTAGGTTATTGTTGGTAGATGACAGGCAGGGGGGGGAGGCAGAAGCGTAGAAACGCCACTGTCTGTCATTACATCACAGCAAAATAAAAATGATCAGCTATAAATCAAAACTGCCATCTCAACCGCTTTCAGTTTAGAAAAAAATGGCATCTTGTACTGAAACAGTTTATTCTAGTAAAAGTTCAAAGAATCCAGAATATCATAGAATTCAAAAATTAATTAAATCATTAAATCAGAAACTTTTACTTTTATAATTTACAACATACATCACTTTAAAAAATTAACGTGGTGGTCTGAATCCAACGTGATTAAAGGGACGTAACTCTATAACATGTGACCGTCCTTGACACTTGACCCCCATTAAAGGCAAAGTAGAATAAACCCGAGGACGAAGTGAATTTATTTTTAGATTAGCATGTTATCTTTATCTTTGTTGCATGTCCACCGACTTACTTTGTGAGGATCTAAATGACACCAGTTCAGAGCTGTTATTCTCTGGTTTGTGATTCTGTTTTGGCTGGTCCAGAGCAGTAAAATATCAGAGCGATAAGCAGTTGGTGCGACGATTCCTTATTCTGCGACTATTCATCAGTAAGGATCCGGTTCGCGAGTGAGGACGTTAATCAAGGACAGGAGTACCAAAGAAAAGGATCTGTAGCTCAGGATGTCAATAGATAAAACTAAAAGAATTGGACGATGGTATTTTGGAGGTTTAGCCAGTGCCGGGGCTGCATGTTGCACTCACCCCTTAGACTTGCTGAAGGTAAGTAGGATATGCAGTGTAGAGTAGCAAGACATTGTCAGTTCATGAATACACAGGATATAAAACTAGTTGTATTTTATTGATGGGTGGACATATTGTACCCAACATACATGATTCAGTCATGAATGAAAAGGAATGCATATTGACAATAATCCATTCTAGGCTACTCTACAGATGACAGGGTCATGGGGGTATATTTTGGGTTCTGTACCCAAGTACCTGTGTCAGTCATGGATGAGTAGACCTAGATATGCAGTTATACATTGAAATAGAATGCAGCCTATTCTACTGATGTAAAAGGCATTGAGTGCAAAATGTTATTCTAGATTATTTTTAAATCAAATGACAAAGAAATTTTAATTTTTGTATAATCAGTGAGGTCTTTGACCTAATTATGAAGTTTTTGAGCTCAATTCAAGATTTGTGTATGTATCGTATATATAAAGATTTGGATGTTTTGGAAAACACCGATAACAACCTATCAATCTATGGAGGAGAATCAGTGACCTTAGATATCATTGAATAAATAAAGACGACACTTGACCTCAACTAGCCCTTTGTATATCAATACTTATATTGACCTTGCATAATTTGCATAATCAGCAGTATCAGCGATAGTCTGTAATCAATATGAAGTCAAGGTTGACTTTGTCTAAGATTATTATATTTAATCAATCTGATGGCAAAAAATGTGTGAAATTTGCTATTTTTACCAAGAGGACCAGATTGATTTATGATATCTATATACTTTTTCGAAAGAATGTGGGGTAGCACTGCACCAAATATTCTCTAGTCTGAACTTCAAGAAGTGATCGTTAAGAGCCATGGTTTGCCATTTTCAAGGGCTGGTTTGGGCCCCAAAATATATGTATATAGTCTTCAGAAATATTAGACTTGTATGAAACTAATATGATTGACCTCCTAAAATAGCCAACCGAAGACTTTACATTTTAAAGTATGGTTATTTTTTTGTTTCCAGGTTCATCTACAGACACAACAGAAAGAGAAGATAACTCTAGTACGAATGGGAATCAAGGTGGTGAAATCTGACGGTATATTTGGTTTATATAATGGTTTAACAGCTTCTATTTTACGACAGGTATGGGTTGAATTTAAATCAGTCTGATTAGGAAAGTTCTTCGTTTTTTATTTCTTTGTAATAAGGGACTTGCCCACAGAACACGAAATATCCAGAAGACAGACCATCTTCAGTTTCCCCAGTAGAAAGTCCAGTGGAGATGCCAGCCTCTTGAGACTGGGGTTACATATAGCGTAAGGAAGGGGGGGGGGGGGAAACAGATTGACTTAAAGAAGAACAACTCTAAGGAAGTGTATAAGAGCATGGTTCATCTCTCTCATGAGAATAGAATTGATCGACTTATTTAGTGATTTTTTTAAGAATTAAAATGGGGTATTATTCGAGGGTACTGGCGCTGCCACTGAGAAAGTCACTAGAACCCAGTAAGTAACTTGATCAATGAATTTGACTGTCATGTGACTGATGTAATCAATGTTGCTAATTGATCTTTGTCATATTTGATCATATTATCACTGATATTTTTACCTAGATACTTGAGTGACATATTAACTAAACATGTCATACATTATATCACATTGTACCACAGTGTTCTCAGGACATACCTTTTACTGACCCTTGGACTGTTACTACTTAAATCTAGATACAATGATAGACGTCATGTCATCTGTCAGTGTGTCAGTTATATCACCTTGTCACTAGTTTATCACCTAGTTTTTTGTCTACTGATTGGTAATTAGGCTATCATACATTGCATATTTATTTTTTTATCATCAATCTTTACTTTAGGACCTAGGCCAGTGCTTTCATGAGACTATTTCCTCATCACCATGTATTTATGTGCTGATGCATTTTATGCATCCACCTTTACCTTAAAAAGGGCTCGTGTTTGTCCAGGGTTTTTAATATATAAGAAAGAAATACCATGGTTAATCTGTGAGGACTGCTATGCAATTATCGCTCCTTTTTTATCAGGCTTTGGACGAGATTTTTGGTAGCTTGAATGTTTTGCTTGTACCAGTAGAGATTTTTATAAGAGTCCATCAAATATTTTTTTGCAGGGTCAGGTCCTAATAGGGTGGGAAATTTTTAATGAACTGCTTACTGTTGAATTAGGGAGAACGTGATACACAATGACAATCAGAAACAGTGTCTATTTTTAATATAATGTTCTTGTGATTATCACAGTCAACAGCCTGTAAGATCAAACTCAATCACCTGGTGGACTGACTCCGGTATAAATTGCTAATTAGACATGATACATTAGACACAGGTTGCTAATTAATCTGACAGTGTCACACTCGTTAGTGAGAAGATAATTACAGAGTTAATTAGGATATAGCATGCTAATTAATGTATTTAACGATTTACTGTGAAAAACATCAAGTCCATGTCTTTAAATTGATTTAATTTGAACTCAATCTAATCAGAATAAGATTACAATTTCATTGATTTTATTACGGCGCTGTTAAATGGAAAAAGTGTCTAGTTGTTCGAATGGGACAATAAACCGAGGGTGTGCACGTTGAAGATCCCTCGACAGTTGGAAATTGAAAAAGAGCCGGCTAATGCCGCTGTCCTGGCAAAATTTCCCTCATTGCACCCTGCATTGCGTTGCGATTTTTTTTCATTTTATTATATTTCTTCCCCATTGTAATCTTACAAGTTTTCTACCACAGTCCTGTTCTAATGACATAATGTTTAACCAATCAAAGCATGAAATGTATGACCTGTTTCTTAATAATTTGTGGCTAGCATCAAATTATGGTACATTATTCAAATAACTGCACAAACAATACTCTCACACTAGAGTTTAAACCTACATCAATATGCCTGTACCTGTGCTTTCGTAACACTACTTAACACCAATGTTACAACCTACAATTCCTAAGAGGCTGTCATATTGCTCTAGTATTTAGAAACTTGTTTTAAATTGTATTTTCAGTTGACCTACTCTATGACCAGGTTTGCTATTTATGAAACAGTCAAAAAGGAATTAGTAAAAGACAATCAACCAATGCCATTCTACCAGAAAGTCTGTCTTGCAGGATTTGCTGGTGCCACTGGAGGTTTAGTTGGAACACCAGCTGATATGGTTAACGTCAGGTAAACATATGGCTGTTTCTTAATCAGGGCTTTTAAAAAATGCCAAAATACCCAACTGTTAGTGCTCTTAGATATTGAAATCAAGCTATGGTTAAATTTCTTGGGCTCATTTATATAAAACAGTGTAAAATTTACACAATATGCTGAATATAAGTGTGTTGTTATCCATTTGACACCCCTCAACTTTCTATTGAACTCTTCCTCACATGCATACTTTCTATCAATATGATACAGCATATGTATGATTGGTAGAGCCCATTTGTAACATTAGGGTTGTTTATTGTTGCTTGTCAAATTGCTAGTGAATACTGTCATGGTTTGGGTCATTTCTTTCAGAATGCAAAATGATATAAAACTATCCCCTGATAAAAGAAGGAATTATAAACATGCTATAGATGGTTTATATCGTGTATTTAAAGAAGAAGGGTTTTTACGATTATTTTCCGGAGCCTCGACTGCCAGTTCGCGAGCTGTTTTAGTTACTATAGGACAGGTTTGTCTATTAGTTATTTACTTTTGAAACAATGATGATTTATTATTAAAATACCACTGCTTTATAACTATTCCTTGAGAAATTAATTTTTGGTCTGATACTCTCAATCATTTTTCAGAATTTTTTGTGCTTTTTTCACTAAATGGTTGATAAATGGAAGATTTTTTTGATTTTTTCTCAGGAACAATAAACCACCATTTCCATTGATATTTGTAATTAGAATTATTCACATTTGATAATTTGTATTTTCAGTGTTATGATTTGTATTTGAATATTTCAGCTAGCGTGTTATGATTTGTATTTGAATATTTCAGCTAGCTTGTTATGATTTGTATTTGAATATTTCAGCTAGGGTGTTATGATTTGTAATTGAATATTTCAGCTAGCTTGTTATGATTTGTAATTGAATATTTCAGCTAGCGTGTTATGATTTGTAATTGAATATTTCAGCTAGCTTGTTATGATTTGTATTTGAATATTTCAGCTAGCTTGTTATGATTTGTATTTGAATATTTCAGCTAGCTTGTTATGATTTGTATTTGAATATTTTCAGCTAGCTTGTTATGATTTGTATTTGAATATTTCAGCTAGCTTGTTATGATTTGTAGTTGAATATTTCAGCTAGGGTGTTATGATTTGTATTTGAATATTTCAGCTAGCGTGTTATGATTTGTAGTTGAATATTTCAGCTAGCTTGTTATGATTTGTAGTTGAATATTTCAGCTAGCTTGTTATGATTTGTATTTGAATATTTCAGCTAGCGTGTTATGATTTGTAGTTGAATATTTCAGCTAGCTTGTTATGATTTGTAGTTGAATATTTCAGCTAGCTTGTTATGATTTGTATTTGAATATTTCAGCTAGCTTGTTATGATTTGTAGTTGAATATTTCAGCTAGCGTGTTATGATTTGTATTTGAATATTTCAGCTAGCTTGTTATGATTTGTAGTTGAATATTTCAGCTAGCGTGTTATGATTTGTAATTGGATATTTCAGCTAGCTTGTTATGATTTGTATTTGAATATTTCAGCTAGCTTGTTATGATTTGTATTTGGATATTTCAGCTAGCGTGTTATGATTTGTATTTGAATATTTCAGCTAGCGTGTTATGATTTGTATTTGAATATTTCAGCTAGCTTGTTATGATTTGTATTTGAATATTTCAGCTAGGGTGTTATGATTTGTATTTGAATATTTCAGCTAGCTTGTTATGATTTGTAATTGAATATTTCAGCTAGCTTGTTATGATTTGTATTTGAATATTTTCAGCTAGCTTGTTATGATTTGTATTTGAATATTTCAGCTAGCTTGTTATGATCAGATTAAAATGTTATTATTAAATTCTGGTATATTCCATGATAATTTAGTTACTCACTTCTCCTCTAGCATAATGGCTGTAAGTTTTATCACATTTATTATTTATAAACAAACCATTAATAATCTCAAGAACTTTCAAGCTGATCAGGGGTGGCTCAGTGAGTTAGACAATCACTCACTAACCTGAAGGTACAGGGTTCAATTCCGCCATAGGTTGAAATTATACCTGCCGATTTTTCAACTCAGTTCCCAATGCCAGTGATGCCAATGAGAGGTTCTGCCATGGCAAGTACAAGTTAAGTACTGTAGCTGATGAGCTGATTTTAATTGATATACTGAAAACTTGGTTTTGCACTGATAAATATTTAGACTTTGGGGGCCTGTATCATGATTAATACCAGTTACAGAATATTTAAATCTGCCAGTGGGTTTATAAACTTATTACTTGTTATCAGAAAAATGAAAATTAATCCACAAAAATTGTATTATGTATCTTCTCCTATTAGGGTACCATAGCAACATTTTTAACTCAACCATTAGATGTTATGAAGACTAGATTAATGAATGCTCCAGTCGGGGCCTATTCTGTAAGTAACTCATAAATTTTTCACTACCAAAATTCATTTGATTCATTCAGATTCAGATATTGAGTCCAGTATATTACCCAGCCCTTATTTCGGTGTCATGAACTATAGCCACACTCCCTTACAGATATTGGGGTGTCATGAACTATAGCCACACTCCCTTACAGATATTGGGGTGTCATGAACTATAGCCACACTCCCTTACAGATATTGGGGTGTCATGAACTATAGCCACACTCCCTTACAGATATTGGGGTGTCATGAACTATAGCCACACTCCCTTACAGATATTGGGGTGTCATGAACTATAGCCACACTCCCTTACAGATATTGGGGTGTCATGAACTATAGCCACACTCCCTTACAGATATTGGGGTGTCATGAACTATAGCCACACTCCCTTACAGATATTGGGGTGTCATGAACTATAGCCACACTCCCTTACAGATATTGGGGTGTCATGAACTATAGCCACACTCCCTTACAGATATTGGGGTGTCATGAACTATAGCCACACTCCCTTACAGATATTGGGGTCAAGTCATTGAATTAAGATCGTGCTGCTGTAATCAGGAAGGGGTATTTGGGGATGAGGGAGGGTCTCGCATTCCATAGACAAGAATAAAGAACAATTATTTATGTTATTTGTATAATTTGTAGGGTTTAGTATCCTGTGCTGTTGATATCGGTAAAAACGGTCCACTAGGGTTTTATAAGGTATGTATTTAGATTATTTATTAATAGACTTTCCAAAGGGACGGAGAGTCGAAAAATCGAATTGTGGAGATTAGAATTATCATTCAAAAGATGAACATGCCAAGATTAAATCCAGATTGAAGGAAATAGAGTAAGCTGATTGGATAATAAAACTCAATTCATAATCAATTTAATAATTGACCAATCAGATGACTAGAACACTAAAATCAGTTATTAGTTAATTTTTCTATTTGTAAAATCTGATAATGTGTGTATTTATATTTTCAGGGTTTTATTCCGGCGTTTATTCGTCTCGGACCACAGACTGTTATAACATTTATACTGTTTGAACAGATACGACTTCAGTTTGGTGACGACCCAAAAACTTAATATTACAATGTTTTACATAGTGTTATATAATACATAGTTCTATTTTCATTTTTATCAGTATTTATTTCTACGCAATATACAAATTATATTTTAGGAAATGACGTTAAATGTTTGCTTTACTAAATAGATCTCAATTTTAGATCAATTTAATTCGGATTGTATTAGTGAATTTGAACGTGCATACTTTATGAATAATTGCCGAATTGCTTTTAGCTACCAATTATTTTTTTAAACTACGCTTTTTTTTTTAAAGTAATTGCAAACACATCCAAAAACTTACAATAAATTGAAATTGGAATGAAAGTTAATGTTGATGCTTTTTAGAGTTTGAAATTATAAATTGCTAATTTATTTTCGTATTTCAATGGTTAATATTTATATAGAGTGAAAAACATACTGAGAAAAGTTTTAGATTTTTGAATGGATAATTTCATAGTAATGTATCTACACATGGTTACGCTGCCTGCTTCAACCAAAATCTTTTATACACACGTTTTTGTTTTAAAGTTTTAAGCTGTACAAGACAGCATGCCATATTGACTCCATTTTAACAAGGACTATCACACAACTCTGTAATGTCATTCAGGAATATTTATTCAGAATTTCTAATTTCTTGCAGTTTATGCAAGTTCTACTTTCATATTTTGTCTAATTTTAAAAATCCCAAATGTGATTGTATCCTGTATTTTTAATATTTATTAGATTGTTAAGAATTATATTGATAGAGATTTCTACTGGTTCTTATTGCTGATTAAAATTCAGGATTAGTTGTTTCATTTTGTGTTTTTCTGCAGGTTATACTTGCCATGAAACAAAATGTCCAGGGCTCCACTCTTTAAAAACCTTATGATCAATTTACGAGTGATATTTCTCAATGTAATATTACACACTTACAGCAAATTTCTATCATAAGGTTTTTTGAGAAACGGGGCTACAATTGCATTTTAATCAGAGAGTATCACAGTATGGCAGTGTGGCAGTGTATTGTGTAAATGTATATTTCTGAAGCAGCTCTATTTGCTGTTTTTATGACAGTTTTTATTTGTTATTGTATTTGTTTATAATCTTAGAGAATTGTTTTTATGATATATAAAAAGGTTTGAGACCTATCTGAGGGTTATTTATTGTGGTAATCATTGAATGATTTAGAAAGTTTGATTTGATAAGTTTATCTTTTATTTTAGTGTATTACGATATTGTGACTGCATCTTAATGTTGAAAACAGATTTTACAATATCAAAGGTTTGAGACCTTTCTGAAGTTTATTAATCATGGTAATAAGAATCATTGAATGATTTACAAAGTTTGAATTATTTAAATATTTTACGATATTGTGACTACTTCTTTATCTCGAGAACTAATTTATAATACAAACGAGGTTTGAGACCTTTCTGAGTTTTGTATATTATTATTAATCATTGAATGATTTTGAATATCACCTTTTTAGTACCAGTAAGCAGTAATTAAGAGTCAACCAAAGATTAAAAGCTCACTTATATCCATCATCCATCTAAAGAAAAGTCTTTTGAAATCCCCGAGTTTAAACATTTGGTATAAAACTAGAAATTTTTATATTTTAAACTTGTTCTACAATATTTTTATCAAATTTAATCACAAGGTTTTATTTGGATGTTAATATATGAAGAGCTTTAAAAGTCAGCTATTTTTATGTTTTTATGTAGGTTTTACTAAATTCTTTTGTTTTTTTATTATGATTTCCAAAGAATGGTGACCGGTTTGATTTTGTTTGTTTTAGATGAATGGAGTTTTACGTCCTACGATTTTTAGATAGTGGGTCTTCCTTTTCATTTTCTTGTCTTCGCATGATTGGCTTAAATTAGTTTGAATCTTTTCATGTCATCATTTGTTACAGTAGGACTTTAAATTCACTTCATTTGTTTATTTTAAATCATCAGTAGGCCTCGGGGTCATTTTCTTGTTCTGTTACTTCAGAAATCCAGTCAACTGATTTGTAGATCACCAGGATCAAATTGATACATCGAAAACTCGTGAATAGCCATGATTTTTTCCCAATCATGTGAGCTACAGAGGGTATTATTAACTGATAAACACCGCGTCACAAAATACTGTCACAAAAAGAGGGTAGAAATTTGATTGGTTAAAGCAGACGTCAAAAGGTTAATTTGACAAACACTCAAGAGGGCTGTTGTTAGACCCTAACTGAAGTTATAGTATTAATAAAATCTAATAGGAAAAACGCAATGAAAGTTTAGTCTGTTTTCAATGATACTGAATTTAATTCGTGTGGTCAATTGATTTTTAATAAACACAAGATTGTGATCTGTTTATGTTTTTAAGGACAAGATTTGGGTTATTTTGTGTGATTATTTAAGTATTAATATATAATTATAGTAGATTTTAGTGCTTATAGATATATTGATTGTCATGTCAGGTAGACAATGTGGGTTTTGTTGTTTTTATTTTGCCCCAATGGCTGCTGCTACAAGCAATAACAAAGATAAATATTGAAATAAAATAAGTATGAAATTTATTGTAAAAAGTAAAATTATAGTAAATGAAAGAATTATTTAGTAATTTTATAAAATGAACCAAAAATAGATAAATGGTGCCTAAATTAATATTGTTTTTTGATACCAGGGTAGAAATGGTGGGGGTTTAATCTTTATAGCAAGACTGTGAGGATTGGCAAGGTTTGGATCTTGCTGTATAAACAGTGTTACTTTTGCATTGGTCTATGCATTTTCAATCAGATCTCTGGTGAAGTCTTAACAAAAATTTGGATGCTTCCAGAGAGAGGCTTAACTCAGGGGAGTAAAAGTTGTAACTTTGTACTAATGAAAAGCTACAAAAGCACAGACACAGGACTTATAAGACTTGGGAGTGGTATGGCTTTAACTGAAAAAAAATAAGACTGGAATAGCTTAGTGGATACCGAGTTGGATTGTCGTCAGCGAGGCAACTAGATTAGGTGCTGTTGGTTCGAATCCTCCTCAACTTGAGAAAAATTCTGATGCATGTGCCAGTGCTTCCGGTGTCGGCTTTAATACCTAACAAATGAAAATTTTGTGATATGCTAAACAATAACAAAATTCATCTTATAATGTTGTTTATTTACAAATTATTTACTATTTCATTAATAAACAAAATCTGTTGCCATGACGGCATGAGACTAACTGTTGCTATAGCAACATTATATATACAATAGATACAGTAACAAATAAATAAAACAGATTTCATTATTTTGGGGGTTAATTGACGGCTGTGAATTTTTGGTTTGATGAATCTTAAGTAGAGGAAAATAAGTTACGTAATGTTTTTTTTAAACCACCAGCAGCTTCTTGACAGACAACATAATTTCTTGGTATATTGGTTTACCCAAGGGGCTGGTGAAGTAGCCATTACAAAATAACGTCACAAAATGTTAACGCCATATTATTAAGTCATATTACTTGACGTTCAGGGTGTTTTATTTTATTCACAAAATTTCAAAGATACCTAAAGTTAAGTTTCTACAGGTTTCACCTTTGTATCTCTATGGAGATGAGTAAACGAGAGTTCCTTCCCTTTAAGTCCACTTCAAGTTTTGTAAACAAGGAATTTCTTTCCAGTGAAGTGTATTTCCAAACCATTCTTAACTATATTTAATCTCAAAATACAATTCATTAAATACATACCCATCTTATTTATAATTTGAGATATTCCACTTAATTTCAAACATGCAAAATTCCATAGCTTTCAGATTTAAAACTTATTGAATTTTTATTAATTTTACCTGAATTTGATAGTTTAGCCATAATTTATCTGTACAAATGAGTTTCAGTGAAGTGCAGAAATTGATTACAAAACACAATAAAAACTAATCCATTACGAAAAAAATCTTTCAAATCGAAAAAAATGTTTTGAAAGATTGACAAAATGGATAATTTTGATGGAATTTTTGAAAACATGAATCACAAAATATGAATTTAAGCCAAAAATGTGAACAGATATTATTTCTGATAAGGTACAGATAAAACCCGTACTGGAGAAAAAAAGGCAACTTTTTCCAAACCTGAAGAAATTTGCCCTAAAAATTTATTATTGACAAATCTAAAATTTACAGAAATTTGGGAAAGTATAAATTCACATGTACATTTTTAACTTTTAGCCTTGTCATCAGTAATTCATTAATCCATAAAGGGATGTAACTCTGTTTGATTAATCAATTCCCATCTAAACAGACATTTTCTGTACAGTGGGCTGCCAGTTTAAATAAATAACACAGTAGTCCATTGGCTAGAATTCTGCATTATGATTAATTAATTTTCCGGTAAAGCTAGAAAATGTACAAATTTTAACACATTAAGAGCTTGTTTATAGACAGTAAAGAATACCAAAAAAATAAATTAAATTCAAAAGAGAAGCACAAATGATAGGAAAACTTGTATTTTGATTTTCGATTTACCCGAATTATCAATATCAGTCCCATTCAAGACCAGACCAGACATTCGGAGGGTGTAAAATATATTTTTTAGATCGGAGAAAACATTTTCTCACCACCCTCTAAACTCGACACCATGGAAAAATAATATCAAAATTAGTTTGATTTAAATACTGTTTCTCCAAGACTTCTACATCCCTTTACATTACGTGAACTCTTCCACTCATACATCACTATTATATGTTTGGAATAGTTCATTAATAACATAAAGGGGTACACTTTTCCAGTCTAAGCCTTGAAATTTATTATAAAAATGTATAAAAATTCATATTAGCATTTCATCATCCAATCAAAATGATGGATTTCGAATCTCAACCAATTAAATTCATTGAAAAAAAATTGTAATACATGCTATATTCGATTAGTTGTAAATAAAAATTAGCTGGAAGCAGACGTATAAATAAATAAGGCAAATTACTGAATATATTACTCCACTAGATAAATCCTTACACAATAACAAGTAGTCCAGCAGTATTAAGGTGATGTAACAATGTTTATCCTTATAAGGAGATGCATATCACATGTTCAGGTTCTGTTTAAAATTGGAAGTATCCTGGAGTTCAAGAGAATTTGGAAGATTTTTCACAAATTTCAATCCCATCATTTTCAACAAAACTTATCCATGCTGAATATTTGTATCACTATCCATAAAAAGTTATCCAAAATTTCTGAAGAATTTTGTAGAATTATTTTCTTTTATGAAATAAACACTTTATTCAAGATCCATACTTCCTTTCTATGTATTCACTTTAACTTTGATTTGTCCAAACATTTTCAGATATATTCCAATTCACTATATTAGATATAGTTTTTGATCCGTCGTTTGTAACAAGGACTTTATAATTGGGTTTAAAGATGGTTACAGTTGTCCTTTCTCCTATGTTTTCCAAAATTCTTCTCTCTTTCAATCAGATATCACTTTAGATCATTTCCTTACACAACGTCTGAATTTTCAGTACTCCGATAAATTCCATTCCAAGAAAAAAGTAGGAATCTCCATTTTATTTCATTTCTCACTCTTTTAAACTTTGCGGAAACTGTTTACAACATCTCCGAAGCAGACAGGAAGTTCCAACACGAGATCGTTCCTTTGATATATATACGCATTTTGGCACAATGGTATTAATAACAGAACAATGTTTTAACACTGTACAATTATCTCCCTTTAATCAGCACTAACACTATACTGTAACCATAGCAACTAAAGGCAGACGTTAAAATTAATCCAGCACAAAATTTTTCACTTCTGCTAAAAATTAAATAATTGATGAAAGACGCAACAAAATGTTAAAAAGAGATTCATTGGTTCATTCTTTCTGTTTGAGTTAAAATGCACCAATTAGAACAAAGCTTGCTGCCACAAAGTTTTTAAAAACAATAACAAGAGTTGTCTCCCATCAATCAACCAACATGGCGTCCAGCTCTTCGGTTAAATCTTGTAACATATTGTCAATATCGGATAAAACATTTCCCGTTTCTGTTGGTCGCGATGGTTTCCTAAAAGAGAAATTATCATTGATGAACAAACAGGAACAATATTTTAAATGCAAAATAATCTGACAAATCAAACGTAATCAAACATACAATGTTTTGCAGAACATGCGAATTTATGAAGTTATATCTTAATCAAAATTCAAAAGTTCTATCACTGGACATTTAAAACAAATCCAAAATGATGACCTAATATTATGATCATGATTTAGGCCAGATGAAAACATTATCATCTATTGAAAGTTATCAAAGTATGAGTATTCTGTCACATTTTGACAAATAAATATTCATGGACGAGCCCAACTTTTGCTGATGGACTGTGGTCGAAAAAATATGTTTATATTTGGAAGTACAAGACAAAAATGAAATTTTGAGTCTAAATTAAAACTTACGGTGAAGAAGGAGCTGGGGCAGGAGGAAGTTCTTCTTCTTGTTGTATTGATGGTGTAATATTGTTGCTAGGTAACCCAGGTTTGTTGCCAGGTACAGGGGGTTTCTTTATGCCTGGAATAAATATTGAATACGAATAAATGAAACTTAATTGGCAAAGTGACACAATGTCAGTGAGCCAGCTTTGTGCTAAATCTTAACATTCAATGTAAGAGCTTTTCCCTTGTACAACTAACCTTTAATGATATCTACTACCCACTGGCTCTCAAAAATCTTATGATGAAAATTTGTTGCAAGAGAGGGATTAACAAGAGAGAAATAACCCCTTTAGGACAAAAAATGAATCGTGAATTTCCTTGTGAAAGGCACAGTTCAACACCTGGACCAATAGAATTGTAGACGCAGTCACCTGTTAATCTGAAGTAAAATTGTGAAGGAGTTTCTTGGATATCCCATCAGATGTTTGCTGTTGGAAAGTAGCCCAAGTTCAGACAGACAAAACATGTATAAGGTAGGACAATAAAAATTCTGTCAAGAAAGTAAAAAAAGTTATTTACCTTTTGGAGGAACAACTGGTGCTGATCGAGACATGACATTGTTTGGTTTAGAGAACGGTACCCCAGGTCGGAACGGTGCCTTACAATTATCATCAAACATGTCCGAATTGAGATCCAGATTTCGCTCCCCATCCATTCCATCCAATGAAGTCACAATTGAAGGTTTCACGGGAGTGGCTATCCTCTGTTTTATCGTGCCAACATTTTCGTTAGCAAATGGAAGTGTGTTGGAATCCCCACTCGATGTTGAGGTTGTTGAATCGAAACTTGAGGTAGAATCACTTCGTTTTTCAGTAAAATTCGCCTTCACAAATTCTACGTCTGTCATTTTATCTCGACCTTGAGGTCTTCCAAGGTCACGCACGGGTGAGATAGGATGACGTAACTGTCCACCGCTGAACGAACGATCTGAATTCAGTTTCTCATTAAATGATTGGCTTAAATCTTTCTTCACTTTGTTTTGTACCACAAATTCTGGTGGTTTCTGGTTTTCTGTTCTACTAGGTATCCCATAATTCCTGATTTTAGGTGTAATGATATCCATGGCAATGGGCGGAGGAGGAGGAGGAAACTCCTCACCATCTGATGATAATGTATCTTGAGCAGGCTCCTCGTCTCGTTTCTTTCCAAAACGTTCTGACAAACTTTTCACACAATCTGCAAAATTCTGCGGCTGGACCTCTGGCGTCTGCTGCTGTGGAGCAACAACGAGTTGCCGTGGTTGCGGAGTAGATAATGCTGGTTTCGGTGGCGGTGTTGGAGTTGTGATCACCTGTTGCGGTTGGTCAATTTTCTTATGAACAGGACTGGGCTTATTTTCCATGTTCACACTTAATGGTCCGTCTCGAATTGAGTTTGTGCGTTTTGGAGGAGGGGGTGGGGCCTTCTTGGTGCGTCCTGTTGGTGAGGGTGTTTGTGATGTCATTTCCTGATTGGTTGCAACAAATAACGGGCTGGAAGGTCCTGGAGTCACAACAGTAGATGATTTTGGCAAGACAAGGGGTTTAGGAGCTTTAGGGGGAGCCACTGATGGGGTGTCGTAAATGTGCTCCTTCTGAGTTTTGGAAGTTCGTTTAAGAGTGCCTCCAGCATATTGAGAATTTGTCCCAGGAATCTGATTTTCAATTTTCATTCCGTCAGAATTACATTCTGATTCGTGTTTTTCCAGTTCCACGAAATCTGGTGAGTCTTCTCTACTTGAGCGTTTTGTTTTAGCAATGATTTTAGCAACCGGTTTCGGTTTCACTGCTACCTTCGGAGCAACAGGTGCGACAGCAATGGTTGGTCGAGAGGGCTCGGGGTCAATAAAAACATCCGAACTTTCAGACGTTTTCCGTGTCATTGTTCCTTGAAATGAACGATAACTGATTGGCTGACCTCCCATGTCAATTCCTTCCGATACTGGTTCCGAATTACTCGTACTTGTCCTAGAGGGATTACGATTCACTTGAATAGCCACTACGTCTGGTTGATAACCATTAGAGTTATTTCCCTTTTCACCGCCTTCTCTAGACGGAGGTAATCTTGTTTCACCACTTCCTCCACTACCGATTGTACTTATGCTTTCACCTGACGACGATTTTTTAGGAATTGCTCCCAGAAGTTCATGATGAACGGGTAACTCTGACGACCAACGCCCAGTCGCGTTTAATGGAGGCGGAGGTTCGAGTAATTCTGTGGAACCATGACGTTGATCAAGGGAAGATAATCGTTTCCCGCCACTCGATATTCTTTTTAATCTTTCAATAGCTAGAATTATCTTCTTCTGGTGACCTGAAAAGAAAAATAAAGATTATAAGACTCACTCAGCAATTTAATATTCTATCAAAAAGCTAACTCTGACCAAGTCTAAATCTATCCTCTTTAGCAGATCCTAAATCCATCCTAATTCAGGGTAAAGTAAAGTTGTAAACTGATGGGCAGGCCTTTTGACATCTTTAACCATTTAATATTCGATAAAAATTACAACTGTTTTAACTCATTGTTATCTCATAAATAAGTTCAGACCGCGTAAAACAATCACTTTATTTCATGATCAACCAGGGTAAGCAAGTTTGGAATGAAAACAAGTTAACAAGCGTGTCAAATGTCAAATCATCTTCTTGACACCCTAAACCATTTAATGGACTTACCTATACTTCATCAGCATACCACCATCCCTATGTATGTTTAGTTGAGTTCATTTTAACATAAGGTGTCTATTTGTTGATGTGAATTAATTCAATGGCACAACTTATCCAGAATGTCACATAACAATTCTTTATTATCTGAATGTAGTATCTACTGTTCTACTAGTTATAATTCATGCAAAACTTTTTCAGAAAAAGAGTCTATCTTACCTAATTTTTTAATTCCTATTTCTTCTAAATCTTCCCAAGTAATTCCAGTAACATATTCGATATCATCATACTCCTGACGGATAAGGGTGTCGTAATATTGTCCTAATCCCAGTAGATGGAGCCACTCCATCAAATCATTGGGTTTAAAATCAGGGATGCCATCACCTATATTCAGCCGGGCTATTTCAGCTTTTAAACGTTTCCGATGAGATGGTTTTGTTATTCCTATAGCGGTTAAATCCTGAAATTAGTAAGGAAAAATGATTTTAGAAGGAAAGAAATAACCATTTTTTACCAGGATGACAACTTGGGTTCAGGAGAATAAGAGGAAAGTTGTCATGGTTACCAGATTAACCTCCCTGACCATCATTAAGTGCATCAAAGCAAATTATATAGATTCCAGACCTGTCCTCTTTTGAAGTTTGAAATTATTTAAAGCATTGAATATCCAAGTTCAGTGAAAAACAAGATACATCAATACGCAAAATGTTTACACCTCTTTCAGAATTTCAGCCAGGGAATGTGTTTTAAACTCTTTAGGAGTGAAATGAGTTCAGTGCTATAATTTCTGAAAATCTGTAATGTAGAATAAGTCCTACCTCTGGGGTCATCCTAGATATAGTTGGCATATCGTATCCGGCCTGTTGAAAATTACTGTAATATTCTTCGTAGCGTAGATCGTGGAGCCAGGCGTGGAGTACCTCATGATCCTGGAAAATAAATTAACATCAATAGTAAGGATGGGATACATCTGTATTGAACTAACAACTGATTTATATTTAGTGAATATGTCGCAGAAAACCAGTTGTAGAAAGAGATGAGGATGTTAACAATCAAAAAATAGCAGTCACCAAAAGATTGAGCATTGAAGGATATGAAAACAGCTGCCAATTAATTGGATGAATGGATATATAAAGCATGATGCTGGTCTGAAGGACTGAGATGGGAATAGCATCTGGTCGTTTGGAAAACACAATGATCCCTGGCCATGTGTGTACAGACCTTGCACAATCCCTCAACAAAAGGAAATCAAAGAAGGGTAAGTTTATGGTACTGTCTATACAAAATTTCCCCGATTGAACACTTCATGGTCCTAATTGGAGTTGAATAGTAGGTTGTACAACTTCCATTCATTTTAAGGAGACTGAAAAGTTTCAGCAATGATTAAAAGAAACTGAAAATAACTTACTGGTACTCCAGCCTGGAATAGTTCACCAACGTTGATATTGCTGGTTGATCCAGACTCCTCTAGACGATCAAGACTACCTAGACTAGAACTACTAGTACTGTGGTAACTCTGACGTGACGAGACACCTGATTCATAACTCTGACCTGACAGACGATGTTGGTTGTTCACGTGTACGTTCACTAGGTTGGGAATCTGAAATTCAAGCAAAATATTCAAAATTTTTATCCTCACGGTAGTTTGTATGTGTTTGGTCACGTTTGAAATTCATGGTCCTGGACGTCTGTTAAAATATGTCAGTAAATTATCCCAGGGTGGTTTGTATCAGATCATATTTGTCTGGAGCTTCTTGAAATTAATGAATCTATCAGAATTATGTCCATTTGTTTGGCTGTATTGGGTCACGTCTGACTGAAGCTCAAAAGCTGGAAATATTATGACAGCACCAAAAATCACACCTAATTTTATAAATGAGCTGTTCCAATCATATATATACAGTATTTAATTGATAGAAAGTATGCATGTGTGGAATAGTTCAATAGACAATTTAGGGGTGTCAAATAGATGACTGACACACTATATCCAGCCTTGAAGCTGAATGTTTGATTACTGCTGTGACGTTCGTGATATAAACTATCTATAATAGTCAAAGCGAATGACATCAGTAAAGTAAGATAGTAGTTCTATTAATGTCTGTAACACAGATCTTCTGGGACATCATGTGATCTGGACTATTAAGACTAAATAATAGTGTCTACAAATCAATCTTCTTTGGAAAAAACAGTTCATGACAACCTTCAGACTTCAATATTATGTTGAATATTGATTTCTACAAGCAAAGTGGTATCCAGCACTTCCGAAAATTGATATTGCCCTCCTTCGGTACCTAAGCCAGTGGTTTCCAACCTTTTTCAGCCTTCACACCCCTGGAGCAATCACCTGGACCTTTCACACCACCAAAAATTTGTTTCATCCACATTTCCAGCATGTGATGATGTGAGGTGCTCTCTCAATTCAAAATAAATTCTTCTCCTACACCAGTTGGCCACACCCCTGACACCCTAGTTCCACACCCCAGGTTGGGAACCGGGGAACTAAAACTGCAGTCTGACAATTTCAGTAGACAAATTAGTCTAAGCACAGTATTTAATGACTGACTGGTGGTTCTCTATGTGGCACAACTTTCTTGCAGTCACTCTAACATTAAATAACAAAATACATACCCTATTGTCCAGATGACCGGTGCTGAAACCACGCCCACTATCACTACTAGCAGCACTGTTTCTATTACTATGAACAGGACTGTCTTTCGCTGGACTCGACCCCCTCATATCCCCGCCTCCCGCTGACATGTGATTATAATTCGACCAATCATGATCTGTTGTGTGATTTCCTACAACTCGTCCACCAATTAACTGAAAGATACAAAATTTAGGATTTTAAGCATTTAAATCTATTATATTTAAATATTCAAGCCTAGTTGATATTTATGAAATAGTCCAACAATGATTAATATGTATATCTGGGCATGATAAACATAAACACAACCAATCCACAGTATTTTTAGGAACCCTCCAGGGACACTACTCCAGGTTTGGAACCGGCAGTTTAGTGAATATTCAAAGTTAAGAAGCGCAGTTGTAGAATTCATAATATCCTTTAATGTTATTGGATATGAACTGGTTCCTATGTAAAACTATATAAAAACTTTGTGCAGGTAAAACTGCATTTTAATTCTCAATCTTGTCCACAAAGTAAAGGCAGAATATCTTGGCTAGCTCAAAACCAAAAGAAAATGTGAAAATTGAGAATGGAATCGTGTAAAACTGTGTCAAAACTTTTGTATAAGTTTAACTGCAGTTTAATTCTAGACCATATCTACGTTTAAATAATTAAATACTTAAATATCTGGACTAGATTAAAATCAGAAGAAAATTTAAAACATGTTGAGAATGGAAACACCTGATCAACATACAGTGAAGAACATTCCTGATATCACTACCTAGGTTATTTATAGATCACATATATAACCTCTTCAGTACAAATATAACCTCTTCAGTACAAATAACTTTATAACTCTTCTTTCATTAAATTATAATACATTGTTTTACAAATAACTTTACAAATCTTCTTTCATCAAATTCTAATTACATTGTTCTACAAGGTGGTACATTGTGATATAATTTAATATATCTTGTCCAAGGTGCGCTCAGTTTTGTTGCCAGTTTTAACAACTTTCAAATTATATACAAGTTCTAGCATACACAAACAATGAAAAGATGTATATAATTCATATCCAATTAAAACATTTCATTTTCATTTTTAAGGAACTTAAACAACCTTGTATAACTACAGATATTCCTTGCTGAATAATTAAAAATAAGCTGTCCCTGTCTTGCTGGAATAAGCCACTCTAGTCGTCTGCCACGTTCACCATCCTCTGATAATCTTCTAATTAAAATACCACACAATTGTAACAACAGAACCATAATAATTTACATCTTGTAAAAACGTCAAGCGTACGCCTGCTATTATTCTGATAACCATGACAGCTGGAATTAACTCCCAGAATATTTGCATAATTTGTTATCTTTGGCACCAAAAACAGATGAATTTTTTTTTTCAAATTATCTGAAGATTAGAGTTTCTAAAATTAGTCACTGTTTCTACAATTTTTGATAAAAAAATTAACATGTTGTATGAAAATGTTTCTTGTTGGTTTTTCAAGAAACAAATAGATTAAGTTAAACTGGGAGCCAAGGTGGATCATTGAGTTAGAAGCTTGCTACCTAACCTGAAGGTCCACAGTTCATTCCCAGTATAGGTCGAGATGATAATCCCCAAGGACTATTCAACCAGTTTCCCCCTGTCAGTGATGCAGGTCAGAGGGTCTGATTCGGGGAAAAGCCAATATAAACTAACAAACATAATTTCTAATACCACTGCCAGCGCTTTCGAACACTGAAACTGCCTTCTATATAATCCATTAAACCCAGAATTGATTTGTAATGATTATTCCAGCACTACACAGATGGGGTATTGTCAGTAAACATATGTCCTGACAAAACAAACTGAATACTGTCTCTATATAACAAACTATCCCAGCGATATACAACTTCACATTGTCAAGCTATTAAAAATGTTCAAGCTACTTGTATCACACTACTATACATAGAATTGATTTGGTTTGTATTATTCTAGCACTGGACATATGTCCCCACAATAAATACTGAATACTGTCTCTATACAGAACCAATTAGAGAACAAATAACCATATCAGACTCTAACGAACTGGAATTAGTTTTCATGTTTCATGGCTTTAATATTCATTAACAAACAATGATTTGTCAGAGAAAACCATGTGCACTCTCTAGATAGGAAGCATTTTACAATCATAAGGACTATATAGTGACACAAGGTAAATATAATAAGTGTAAATATACCCTGGATTACTATTGTCACTTTGTACAACAATGTTTCCAATCAAAGATCTGTTGGAAGATTGTAAAGTGGCTATAGGTGTTCTTTAAGAATAAATAATTAACATGCCCTGCCTTAAACTGCTTGATATTTATATGTTTAAAGCTCAATACTGACTCTTATCATCTATTAAGTAGATCTCTTTATTTGTAACCTTGGCCAGTGCTTTTAACATTATTAATAAACTTCTTCATTCTTAATTCTAGTGTGAGTTAAATAAAAATATCAAGAGCAAGGAGCAATCATCTTGATGAAAGCTAAAAGTTAAAATCATAAAAATAAATACTGATAACCTTTCAATGACTTATTCAGCTACTCAATTAAACTATAAATATTTCATACTTTTACAGATTATTATTCTATATCCATGACAACATGCAGACTCCCACAATAATCTTTTAATATAACCACATTTATCAATTTCATCCAAACTTTCTTAAAGGAAATACTTGCTCTGATGATCTAAATTATAATAAAGTTTGCATCAAAACACTGAATTCTTTCCCATTCAGAAAACAGAACATATTACAATATTACCATAAACATGAAAATGATTCCAAACTCAATAAAAATTCTTGTAAAAGACGAATTTCTCTGTTAATCTTTTCCAATATACACAGTTGGCATAAGAATAGTAATAATTCTATTCAACATGTTTACAGTATTAGCTATCAAACACGGCAATATGCAGACTTAATTTCTACCAGACTTACACAATATATTAACACAGCATATCCTGAATAATTCCAAATAACACGAAAGTTTCACTAAATCAACCATTACATCTTGTGATACCAATATTCCAATATACTTGTAGAAACAGATCACTTTATTCCAGTCTACTAAGTATTATAACCAATACGTAATTTGTAATCAAATTATCAAATTATCCCACCATACTCAAATTTTCCAAATTCCACAAAAACTTGCACAGAACAGTCAAGTTACTGCTAATACATCGTCCAAATTATACACAGATATACATGTTATTTATATCAAATATTCTTTAACCGTCGTCCAAATTATTCTGAATTGCACAAAAAT